AACCTTCCAGAAAAAGTTAAAATTTTGACAGTAACAGATGCTATCTCCAGACATGACATATACTAAAAAGGAAATTCACATGAAACATTTCAAACAAGTAGCATTTTTTATCAGTCAGATATGCACATCATAAATCAATCTTGCCAACTGTATACAATTTACTTAGTAATTTATTATTCAAAATCCCTACTTTCTTTTTTAATTGGACTTCCTAATAATGTATTACAAAAAGTTTAGGTAGCTAATTAAAAGATCATATAATTAGTATTCTGTCCATGTTCTAACAAAAATTAGATTTTTAACATTCTTTTTTATATTGCCTTATTTCTGCTTCTGATCATGAAAAAAAAATTGGAACTCTTGTGTCCATGGAGATTCTCAATCATCTAGATCATCATGGTCCTAAATGTGTTTTTTCTCCCAAGAAGGCAACTGGACTTTCTCATTTTTTTCATTTGAAAACATTTCTCTTCTCATCCAAGAAGCTGATTCTTCAATTCAGTTTTGGAACCGTTCTTCAAAGAGGAACTACTTTGGCCTGATTCATACAATATTTAATACATTTGGACAAGATCTGATTATGGAGGTTGGCCAGTTTCACTGAAATAACTGCTAAACAGATAAATGATTTCATTAAATGTTCTTAACCTCTTATTTTTGTCAAATTCAAATAAATTTTGCCCATTCCTTTTATATGATTTTAAAGTATTCTAACATATTTTAGTTATCATGTTTCATGGTTCACTATCATTTTTCTTAACTTCTGTATTGTTATGACTTGCAGTCGAAAGCAGACCAAATTGAAATGGATAAATTAAGGTAACTGTATGACTGTGTGGGTATCTTAATAGCCATGGGCAAAACATCTCAAAAACATACCAATTTCTTCACCTTCATATGTATTGCTAACATTAGGAGTGTCAAACAAATTTTTATTTGTTTTATTGAGTATGTTAACTTTTAACTATATTAGTCTCAGGCTAAATGTCAGGGCATTTTCAGGACAACTTTATCTTTTTTATGTTATTCTTTAGACCCAGTTAGCTTTCTACTTACAATAGGAAAACTTTGAAATCATATATCCAACCAAAATACTTCTCACAATGAAAGCAAAATAGACTTTTAATTGTAAATCAATTTCACAGTTCATTACTAAACTTCCATGTAACATTTTCCCAGCAACTATTTCTTCTCTATTTACTTTGATTATATATTCTATGTACTCACTCTTTCCTGCCCATTTCCTTTTCTGTGTAGGGGAATTACTACTTTAGCAAAGTATTTCCTGTTGTACAATACTTGGTTTGTAAGAATTAAGCCTAATGTTGTTCCACTGATAATACTACATGTACAATAAAATAAATCAGTAATATTCGAAAAACTACAGAAATTCAAGAAATCAAAGGTAACATTTAAATGTGTGGTTGAGAGGAAAACACACAATAGATTTATACATTTAGAAAGAAAGTATTTGTCATCATAGAACAATTATAACAAGTAACCGTTTTAGCTACTCATTGAAACAAATTATTATTACAATCATTCTTTTTTCATGTTCAGGAAATCAGATCTATACAATATGGATTTGAGCAATTGTGAACCTCATAGGCTTTTGATATAAACTTGGAAGATGGTTATGTGTTTTATTATTTGAAAAATGATCCTATCTGGAACCCCTGAATGAAGTTATAATTTCATGAAGCAATTACAATTCACAATGGACGGATTCAAGGGTTGATAATGAAAAAGTTGCATTGCAGCTCTTAAACTAAATCCTGGTGAAAGAAGACAAGAGCTGGGAACCAACTATTTTAAGATGAATTATCTCAATAGCATGTGGATTAAAATATTTCTGATTATCAAATAGAAATGGAATGTAACTAGGCTCTGTGTGTGTGTGTGTGTGTGTGTGTGTGTGTGTGTGTGTGTGTGTGTAATAAAACACTAGCCCGGGATTTTAAATTAAATTAGTTTAAAATAAACAAACCCTGATCCATAAAATTGCAGACATGTTTTTTCATGAGAACTTGTCCTCCTAATGCAAGTATTTGGACAACTGAATTGTGAGTGGAAACATGATTATTTGTTCATAATAGTTAAGATGCTGTTAAATAAATGCAGTTTTCTATACTGTCAATACAATTCAAACTATTCTTGAATTCAATGTAAGCACTTGTACTGTATTATATATGAAGTGGATATTATCTAGCACCCATTGTAAATAGTACAGTATATTCAAAATAATGTAATGTAATAATGTAATGCAGCTTCAAATACAAAATTATACAAAAATAACTATGAGGATCTCTGGCAGAAGGTACAGAAGGATATGGAGAATTGGAAAAAATTACAGTTGTCTTTATTGGGAAGAATTGCAGCAATTAAAATGAATGTGTTACCTAGATTCTTATTTTTGTTCGAAATACCTGTGCTTAAGAAAGATGAAAATTTGAGAGAATGGCAGAAAGGTGTTAATACTTTCATCTGGGCTGGGAAAAAAACCAGAATAAAGATGAAAATTATACAAGATACACGTGAAAGAGGGGGTCTCAAAATGCCTAATTTAAGATTATATTACGAAGCAGCGGTTTTATCACAAATTAGTGACTGGTTTAACTTAACTGAGGGAAGAATTCTGAATCTAGAAGGTTATGATTTGTTATATGGATGGCATGCCTATTTGTTATATGACAAAAAAGTGGATAAAGTATTTAAGGCCCATATACTTAGAAATGCTTTGTTGAGGGTTTGGAAAAAATATCAATATAAGTTAAATTATAAGATACCTGTATGGGCAAATCCTAGACATGCAATAGAAAATATAAGTATAGAACAAAAACAGGAGGTGATTACCTATAAAGAGCTTCTTATTATGGAAAGGGGGGGTAATGTATTTGAAATCTTTAGATACATTGAGAGAAGAAGGCATAATTTATACATGGTTTCAGTACGGTCAGCTTCAAGCTAGATGGAAGGAAGATCAAAAAACTGGCTTCGTGCAAAATGAGAAGAATTTGGTAAACAAATTAGAGATCAAAAACAAATGCATATTAAAAGGCTGTATAATGCTTTATTGGAAATAGACTCTGAGACGGAACTGGTTAAAGATTGCATGATTAAATGGGCGCAAAATTTTCAAGAGCCAGTGATGATGAAGACTTGGGAAAAGATCTGGACTAGAAATGTGAAATTTACACAAGCACAAAATTTAAGAGAAAACTTTTATAAAATGTTTTATAGATGGCATTTAGATCCAAAAAAATTATCATGTATGTATCCTAATGTGCAAGCTAAATGTTGAAGATGTGACTGTGATGATGCAACTTATCATATATGGTGGACTTGTAGAAAAATCAAAGCATTTTGGATAAAGATTTGGTGGGTGATGCAGAATATTTTTTAAAAAAGACTGAAATTTACTCCGCAGTTGTTTTTACTGGGTATAACTACGGACTGTACAGTTGCAGAGACTAAACTGATTTTGAACTTGATAACAGCAGCAAGATTGTTGATAGCACAACATTGGAAGAAGGATTTTTTGCTTACTATTGATGATTGGATATTGAAAGTAACTAATTTAGCTGAAATGGCTAAAATTTCAGCATATTTGAAGGATCACACACAAGAAAGGTATATACAGGACTGGAGAAGATGGATTGATTATATTCAAAATAAGTATCAGACTAAAAAATATCAAATAGCTTATGAATGATTTTTTTTAACTGTATAAGCGCTATATAAGTGATATTAGAAGTATTATGTCTAAGAAGTAGGATTTTATCTATGGGGGGGTTAAGAATTTTTTTTTTTAGGGGGTGTTAGTTTAATGGCTGGTTATGCAATTCAGTTTATTGTTAAAAGTTAATAGAAATACCTTGTGTTCTGCTCTGGAAAGTCGGGGGGGGGGGGGTGGGGGGGGGGGGTGTGGGGGAACTGTGTTTGTTTCACCAATAAAACTTTTTTCAATTAAAAAAAAAAAAGAGCCATTCTTGGCTCCTAGGTGGCCCAAAAAAAAAAAAAAAAGAAAGAAAGAAAAGAAAAAAAAGAAAAGAAAAAAAATAATGTAATCATATAATGTTCTGTCAGCTTTTAATCTGGTATTACAGGTAGTCCTCGGCTTACAACAGTTTTAGTGACCGTTCAATGTTACAATGGCACTGAAAAATGACATGACCATTTTTCACACTTACAACTATTGCAGCATCCCCATGGTCACATGATCAAAATTCAGGTGCTTGGCAACTGGTTCATATTTATAATGGTTGTAATGGCCTGGAGTCATATGAACAGCTTCTAACAAGCAAAGTCAATGGAGAAACCAGATTCATTTAACAACCTAGTTATTAACTTTATAACTGCAGTGATTCACTTAACAACTGTGCCTAGAAAGGTTGTAAAATGAAGCAAAACTCTCTTAATAAGTATCTCACTTAACAACATACATTTTGGGCTCAATTGTGGTCATAAATTGAGGACCAGCTGTAGTTAACTTTAGGAGAAATCGAAATAACAGGAATAGCCTGCAGTTGTTTGAAATTTGCGAAGCATACTACCCTGTTTCCCCCAAAATAAGACATCCCTGATAATAAGCCCAATCGGGCTTTTGAGTACATGACAATAAGACCAAGTGCTTATTTCCGGGTTCAAAAAGATATAAGACAGAGTCTTATTTTTGGGGAAACACAGTAGTTGAAGCTTAAGTGAATTCAGAGTTCTAAAATATCTGGATACCTGACTGCTTGCCTTTACCACTAGATTAATACAATGAAAGGATGCAAAGACCTTTTAAAATGCATACTTCTAATATTTAAATCCACCCTTTCATAACAAGGTATCCTCAAGATGTCTTAGAATTGCAACTTTCAAAATTCTATTTTTAGGGGTAGGGTTACATTTATGAATGACATAAATTAGGAAACATTGAATAATTTTTCAAAAATAGCCCATTTGAACACAAAAATATAGCAATTAAGGTTTTATTTAATAGTTCATTAACTTACCTACTGCAGGAGCATCGTATTCATCGCCAAGTAAAATTTCAGGAGCAGAATATGCAAGAGAGCCACAACTTGTTGTAAGTTTTTTCCCAGGTTGAAATTTGTTGCTAAATCCAAAATCAGTTAATTTCACAAGTCCTTGTTTTTCAAAAAAGACAACATTTTCTGGTTTTAAGTCTCTGTGAACGACATGCAGTTTATGGCAATAGGATATAGCATGAACAATCTGAGCAAAATATTTCTTTGCCAGATCTTCATTAAGACCTTCTTCATGTTTCATGATGTAATCAAACATATCTCCTCCATCACCAAGTTCTAAGATCAGATAAAGTTTGGTCTGAGTGTCAATAACTTCATACAGACGAACAATATTAGGATGTTGCACTAGTTTCATACATCTGACTTCTTGAAAAAGATGTCCTGTGGCAAGAGTATCTAACTTGGTCTTGTCAATTACTTTTACTGCCACTTTTTCACCTGTAAATACATGTCGGGCAAGCTTCACCACAGCAAAATGACCTCTGCCTAGGGTTTTATCCAAATCATACAATCCAGCAATTTTTCCATCATATCCTCGTTTAAAACCTGCCATACTCTCCGAGTAGTAATGCCGACACTTTCTTAAACTTGTGTCTTTTCATATAAGGATTTCTGAAATAGATGCACAACTCATCTTCTCTGCCAAATGCATCTAAAAAATCAGATATAAAATTATTATAGAATGTACATTTAGAAAAACATTTGTGCTCTTATAAAAGTTGGACTTTGTATATGAAAGAACCCACTATATAAGAATTTTCTTGAAAGAAATTTGAATAAATTAGGTTGGTCAATCTAGAAGTATCAGATACATAGACAAGGTTTATTTAACACTCCAAGTAGTTGAATCATCAAATTATGCACCTGAGAATTAAAGAAAATAAGGGGGAGGGGGGAGCCAATTCCACAAAAATGTTAACAAATGACTCATATTTCCTGAATTTAAAACATCTTAAGTAAGAAACCTGAGGAAGCTGCTGAAAATATTAGTAAATGATCTCTCTCTTAAACTCTTTCATAGGAACAGAGCATAGAGAGAGAATAACAAAGCACCATACAGGTAGTTCTCAACTTACAACCACAATTGAGCCCAACATTTCTCTGGCTAAGCATGACAGTTAAGAGAATTTGCCCCATTTTATAATTCTTGCCACCATTAAGTGAATTACTCCAATTGTTAAGTAAATAACATGGTTGTTAAGTGATGGTTTCCCAATTAATTTTGCTTGTCAGAAGGTTGCAAAAGATAATCATATGACCCTGGGACACTGCAATAATTATAAATATGAACCAATTGCCAAACATTCAAATTTTGATTATGTGGCCATGGGGATGCTGCAAGGATCATAAGTGTGAAAAATGATTTTTTTTAGTGCTGTTGTAACTTCAGTCACTAAATGAATAGATGTAAGTCGAGGATTACCTGTAATTATACTTTTTGCTTATTTCTATATTATCTCCTCTTTAGACCCCAACCATTTGCATGTGTTTTCTCTCCCTTCCTCTCTCTCTCCCCCTCCCTCCCTTCCTCCATATATAAACAAACAAACAAACAGAGACGATGGGGTTATAATATAAAAACTATGAAATATACAATTACTAGAAAGACTGATTCATGAGACAATTGTTATATTTAAATGTCAATGTTTACCATATCTAGTTAATTATACATAATTAATAATTATAATTAAATTCCATTTTTAAAAAATGGAAAATGGACTATCAGTAATAATAGTCACAATTATACAGCCAAGGCCTTTCTAAGAAAGATGCGCAGTATATTATCAACCATGATTAAAGTAAAAGTTAACAAAAATAAAACAAAATTGCAGCATCCTGCTAATCCCAGGTTAGAAAAAATCATCTCAACAGCTTGATCTAGCCCATCTCTTTTTTCTCTCTTTAATCCTGTCCTTCCTAGAAAAGAACTGGAATAAGTTGTAATCTTTTGTTATTTTCTGAGAAGAAAATAAATATTTTTAATGGTACATTGTCAGTTGAGGAGCCATATTAGAATTATGTACAAAATGTTTATATCGTGACAACTAAGACAAATTTCCCAGTGAAATAAAATCTATATTGAACGTTGGGAGTCTACTAACCTTGGCAATGCCCTTTTCAAAGGTAACATCTTAGTTATGCTTTGATCATCAAGTTGATCATCATATTTTTAGAAGATCCATCTGCTGACATTTCTATATCCAATACCAAGACCAGTTTCACATTCTTCCACTGCTATTTCCTACATAAAAAAATATTTATTAAGTCGCCATAATTGTTTTATGTTTAAATCTCACAGAAAATAACTATAGGAATATATATATAGACTGCCATCCTAAAATTCATTTGGAAGGATACATAAACTGTCAAGAAAATGTATTGTTTTCTATTACAAAAAATCTTAAATTATAAATATTATTAAGAGTATATCCTTAGAGTAGTAACCTTTTTTGCCGTCATGTGCCAAAAGGGGGGTGAATGCGGGGGGGGGCTCGCTCGCGCTCATGCCCATACCCATAATTCAATGTGCCCCGCCCCCCATGCATGTGCACGCGACCCCTGTGCTCCCACTTTTGGCACGCGATGGCACAGTGGGCCCATAGGCCCGTTTTTCACCCTCCCCAGGCTCCAGAGGCTTTCCAGGACCTGGGGGAGGGCGAAAAAAACGGCCTTGCCCAACCCCCCAGAGGCTGGAAACAGCCCGTTTTCTGACTTCCGGTGGGTCCGGAAAGCCCAAAAATTAGCTAATTGGCATGCGCATGCGTGCTGGAGCTGAGCTAGGGCAACATTCGTGTGCCCACAGATATGGCTCCGCGTGCCACCTGTAGCACGCGTGCCACAGGTTCGCCATTACGGCCTTAGAGTATATATAAAATCTGAATTGAATGCATGAAAGACAAAATTAACACTTCATTCTTTTCTGTACCAAAAATGGAACTTTCTCTTAGATTGACCAAAAGATGCTAAAGTTCTAGTAATCACGACATATGTTGCACATTCCTAGTAATTACTATATACATTTTATATTCTAATTTTAATGGTTTTGTTCTAATTCTACAACAAACTTTCCTTATTTTTTTAAAATATTTGGGAACTGAATATTTAATTCTATTATCCTGTACCTTTGCCTTCAGTATACAATGCTCTACAATGGTGAATACACGGGACATAAACATTATGGGAATGTATTCCTGGTGATGTAGATCTGGCTTTATCTTTGATATCTGTCCAAATGTATCTTTTTAGGAAATCCTGGAAGTTAAGGGACACAGATATTTTTGATAATATGTCTGAATGAGACCAATCTCTTTCTTATTCCCAATATTTTCTATTGCTGATTTTGTCTTTTATATACTTTTTATCAGAATCAAGAAAAAATAATACATATTACAAGTAAAGAACATCTCTGCCAAAGAGAAATTCAAATATTTATCCTCACATTAATATCAGTCTATACCCATGATGGCAAACCTGTGGCACGCGGAGCCACATCTGTGGGCACGCGCACATTGCCCTAGCTCACCTCCAGCATGCATGCGTACGCCGGCCAGCTGATTTTCGGGCCTTCCAGGCCCATTGGAACTCAGAAAACAGGCTGTTTCTGGCCTCCGGAGGGCCTCTAGAAGGGTGGGGAAGGCCGTTTTTGCCCTCCCCAGGCTCCTAGAAAGCCTCTGGAGCCTGGGGAAGGCGAAAAACGGGCCTTCCAGTCCCACCGGAAGTTGAAAAACGGACCATTTCTGGTCTTCAGGTGGGTGGGGAAGGCCGTTTTTGCCCTCCCCAGACTCCAAGAAAGCCTCTGGAGTCTGAGGAGGGTGAAAAACAGGCCTACCGGGTCCACCGTGCCATAAGCGGGGGGAGCACAGGGAGGTTCCGCATGCATGCAAGGGTGGGGCGGGGCACATTGAATTATGGGTATGGGCACACGCACACAGTCCCCCTGCTTTTAGCACACGACGGCAAAAAGGTTAGCCATCACTGGTCTATACAAATTTTGAAGGTTAAGATCTTCAGAAATTCTTTGTAGCGATAAACTTCCAGAAAAATTCTAAATGGTAAAACTTTGGAATTTCTTGGAGCATAGTCAATTATTTAATTCAGTGTTAGGTTTGAGACATTCTAAAATCATAAAAACAGTCCAAAAAAAGGGGAACAATTCTGCAAGAGTTGAAATATTAGCATGCTTTCAATAAGTTTTATGCTTCTAACTCCTCCACCCCGCAACCCCCAAAAAAGATGGTTAGTGGACAATCATTAACTAGAACAGGGGTGTCAAACTGGCGGCCTGCGGACTGGATGTGTCACACACAGGCCATTTCCACCCCAGCTCCGTGAAGGGAAAAAACATCGCAAAACATCATGTGACGGCAATGTGACGCGGAAAGTTTGACACCCATGAACTAGAAGATGAGGAACTGTTTTACAGAGTTGTAGGAACCATTAATTAATAAAACGTAGATTTATAAAAAATGTGGTCCAGCTATAATTGGAATTACTTACAAAACTATATTACAGGCACAAAACTTAACAATCCCTTTATAAGTATGCATATCCTTTTTGTTTGAGTTCAAGTTCAAGTTATTTACATAAGTATTCCATTATTTTTAATCTATTAATTTTTGAAGCAAAGATTTAAATATGTCTCTAAGACCATATCAAATCACTTAAAAGAACCAACCAACGAATTTAATAACTTCTTCACAGCATATGGTAAGAACTGCATGCCTGAGTCCATACTACATTCCAGTCCAGGTGTTTTACCAGATATCCACGATGCCAACAATATACATGTATATGTGTGTATACTGAAACAACACATAGACAAAGATACATATGCATGCTCAGAGAGATAACTGAGGTTAGGGGAGGATATACACTTGGGTCATGATTATGACATTGGCTAAGGCTTAAGCCTTTCCTGATCTGGCTTTCCTGCACACATATTTTTCCAAAGTTACTTCCCATAAAGGGTGAGCACCCATGGGCCAGGAGATTAATTAGTGCAAAATGACCAATGAAGTTAACCTTTTTAGTGCTACAATTTTGACCCTTCTTCCTGTTAATGTTTTTAAAATATAAGAATCTAGAGTTGTAGAAACAATGTTCTCTTTTAAAATCAGATGGAATAGGAATTTTCTAGAAATATTGTGCTATCTCTACTAAAATAAAAACCATTATACTTCTCTATGGCTCTTGACTCAATTGAAAGTGCTTTTCATCTACACCGAAAGTGTTTTTTTATATTACATTTTTCAAATTTTATTTCCAGTTGATTAATATTCTGCTACAAACTGCACAGAACACCAATGAAATCATGTTAAAATACATGTTATTATGCTGTTGTATATGTAGGAAAATTGTTTGAAGAACAGGAGGCCACTTCAGTAAAACACTGAGTATATTAGAAAAAAATAAAATACTAATAATTTACTATTTTACTAAATAGTACCGAGAGCTTTATGTTAGTGCTCAGAGGAAACCAAGCAGATCTTAGAAAATGTCTCACACTTGCAATAATCTAATAAAACTAAATAAATTCTATTCTAATACAGCAGGACAATAAAATGGGAAAACAATTATTATGAAATAATTTGTCAAGGAAGAATGATCAAACAAATGCTGTATTTATTTGCTATCTGTGTAAATATATGAAAAGAGACGTCAACAGTATTAAGGAGCATGCAACTGAAATGGCATCCAGAAAATGTTGCTAGTGCACCAGAAGTGCAATTGTTGAGTTAAATGAAGTTAGACAAACTTGTCTGAAAGTGTTCTCTGAATAACAGTCTACATAAGAGAGAAATAAATTGTGATCTTTTACACTGAATAATAAAAAGAAGTATATTTTATTTAACCAAAAAAAAAAAACTTTTATATCATCTGGTCACCTAGATATTTCAGTAAATGCTCTTGACAATCACCAGGTATCAAATTAATTTTTATTTTTTTAAAAAATCCAAAACATTAGTATTATAGTTATAGTACAGGGCAAATGAATATAATCTTTTCAGCTTTATAGCTTTCATTAGAGCAGTACATATATACGCATACACACACATTATACACAAACACACACACATTCATTACATACTCTAGAAAATTAAACAGCGTAAAAAAACACTGTTCAGTTAGGTCTGCTATATAGCTCCTAAGATACTATCTAAATAAACTAAGCCAAATTGTGCATTTCTGATGAGAAATTATTAGTGTGAAAGGCTATACAACAATAATCATTACAGCTGGCAGTTACAAAAAAAGCCAAATTTTAAATTATGTTACATTTTTTAGTTCTGAGAGTAAACTTTACATTCCTAAAAGAATATCATTTTCCAAGCAGGTTTAACTGTTTCAGGAACCATATGTACTGTGCCAAATTCCTATTTTGTTCCACTTCTCTATATCAAATGTTGACTCCTGTGATTTCCCATAAATGATATATAAAAAATAATCTTATATAGATAAGTGTGATTGCACTAGAGAGCAGGCTTTAAACAGTTGTCTCATATTCTTTGGAAGGATTCATGTCTATATTAGCCAACTGTAGAAGAACATAGTTAATCCAACTATCTTTTGTTAAATAAATGTATTTTAACTTCTAAAAGAGTAAGTAAGCTTTAAAATCTAAGCTACAGGATATTTTTTATTTCAAGAAATATTTCAAGCATATGTTCAAAGAATGAGATGTTAATATATACAGAATTCATTGTACATTGTACATTAAAATACTGATATTAAATAATTATAACATTCCGGTTAATATAATTTTATTTTCAATCTATAATAGATATATACAGTCTAAACTATAAAAAGGCTATTTTGTGCTCTTTCATCTATAACTGTTTCAATTAATATTACTAGAAGGGAATAAACAAAGACGTTCCACAGGTCTGATGCCTATGTCAAAGATGGCAAATAAAACATAAATTGATGCAGTTTAAAGAAATGGCTGTTTGCCAAAGAGATCATCAAGTCATAATGTGTTTTTGGCATGACAACGCTATGTAAGCACTTCCATAGAAAAGAGCTCTGTGCATGCGCCACAAGAAAAATAAAGACTGCTATGCTCACTCTGAATAAACCTGTTGGCTCTCTATCCACCTTGCAGAAATAAGATGCACTGTCATCACCCAAATAGATCTGCAGTTCGAATATATGAATTTCTTATCTGCCACCTAAGCCGGACGAATGCACAGCAGTTGAAAATGGGTGGGGGGGGAATGCTGTTCCTTGGACTATAGGGAATTGGGGGAAGAAAATGGAAACAAAAACGCTAGCGATGGCAAGGGGACAAAAGGTTAAACTCAATTTCACCTTCCCCTCATTCATGTATCTTAAGTCTGCTTTTTGTAATGCTGACAATTACAAACAATAAACGAATTTTAACCCACCATGCATGCTTCTCGGGGACACTACAATTACATGCGAAGAGCCTCCCCCAACCCCGCATTCCGTCTCTCTCCGTGTCTCGTACACATACGTATTTCCTCGCCTCGCCCATCTACTGCAAAAGGGGAACGCGAGAGGGGTGTGCATGTTTGTCACAGAATCACACGAACCCGTACAGACACAGTTTTCGAGGCGACCCGGAGTTGGGCCTTCGGGAATGACGGTGAGCGTCTGGGCTACTCACGTTTTCCATCCCCAATGGCTGCTCTTTCTTTACCGGCACCTACCCTCGTAGGCCTCAGAAAGAGAAGGCCAAACTGGATCTGTCTCGTACCCCGCCCTTAGCAACTTACTCTCGGTTCTACTGGTGACGGCGGCAGGCTTTCTTTTTGTCGCGGCCTCGACTTCCCACCCGCCGCTGCCTGCATGGAAAGCGGAGGTTCCACTTCAGTGTTCGCCGTCTACAACCATACCGGGTAGGAGACTGCAGATCGGCCTCTTTAGTGAAGAAGTGTCAACGGGCCACTACAGAGGTCCGATCGCTCTGTGTCTCGTGCCCACACCCCTTTCCTTGAAGTTCCGAAGACTCTAAACCCAACAGACTACGCTCGCGCTTCCTGCGTCCCACGGAAGGCGACGAAACGTACTGACAACAACAATTCGTAGTCCGAGGACGGCAGCGGGAAAGGAAACGCAGGATAAGGAGGGGCCTCGGCAGAGCAAAGGAAATGCGCGTGCGTCCTAGGAGGGAGGCGCCATCCGAGAGTAGCCAATGGGGGAGTTCGATTTCTGAGTCTTGTCTTTCTCTACCTCCACCGAGTGAGGTAAGCTGCTGATCATAAGCGCAGCGGCTGGTCTAGTCTAGATCATAAACGAAGGTTTAAACTCACGGTCTGCTTAGTGTTGTATACACACCGAGGAAGTTAAAGATAGACCGGAAACTAGATCGCATGGTTATCGGTGAAATGTTAAATTTCAGTGTTCATTAGTGAGGGATTCAGTGTTATAAATGGCAGTTTATTACGGATTAATTAATTAGATATGGGAGCGCCAGAGCTTTTTGTTTTTAATAGAATGTGGCAGGAGGCTAGTTGCTGGTCCATCCCTTTTAAAATTTTTAAATATTTAAAATACTTTTAAGCTTGGTATAGTTATATATTAGAATGGTTTTTAGTTAAGCTTTTCATACAAAGGTATTATTTACTTGTTAAATTTATACCTCTGCAATAAGGACTCTAGGTGATTTACAGAGCAACATAAAAACAATGTAATAAAGTAGCAATCAAACAATTAAATCAATAACTAAAAATAAAAACAAAACTGCTCAACATATACAGACCAATAAATCAGTGGTGTCACTTCAAAATCCATAGGCTTTTTGAAATACTTTAGTTTTTTGCTAACTAATCAGTGGGTTGGAGGTCAACCCTCCTCAAGAAGCCTTCTCTGGACCCGGCTGTTTTATCAAACTATCGTCCAGTCTCCAACCTTAGCTTCGTGGCGAAGGTTGTGGAGAGTGTGGTGGCGCGACAGCTTCCCCAGTACCTGGATGAAGTGGACTATCTAGATCCGTTCCAGTCGGGCTTCAGGCCTGGGTATAACACGGAAACGGCATTGGTCACATTTGTTTATGATCTCTGGAGGGCTCGGGATAGGGATTGTTCCTCTGTCCTGGTCCTATTAGATCTCTCAGCGGCTTTTGGTAGCATTGACCATGGTATCATGCTGTGTCGGTTGGGGGGGTTGTGGTGGGGGGCAACGTGTTACGGTGGTTCTCCTTCCTTTCTGACCATACACAGTCTGTGTTGACAGGGGGGCAGAGGTGGACCCCTGAGGCGCCTAGTTTGTGGGGTGCCGCAGGGGTCGGTCCTCTCACCTCTCCTGATCAACATTTATGTGAAGCCGCTGGGTGAGATCATCCGTGGCTTCGGGGTGGATTTCCATCAGTACGCTGCTGACACTCAGCTGTACATTTCCACCCTGGGCCACCCCAATGATGCCCTTGAAGTGATGACCCGGTGCCTGGAAGCTGTACAGATCTGGATGGAGAGAAACAAGCTCAGGCTCAACCCCTCCAAGACCGAGTGGCTGTGGTTTCCGGCGTCCCGTCATAGTCAGTTGGTTCCATCACTAACTATAGGGGGTGAGACCTTGGCCCCCTCAGAGAGGGTTCACAACTTGTGTGTCCTCCTGGACTCTCAGCTGTTTTTAGAAAATCATCTGACGGCTGTGGCCAAGGGGGCTTTTTATTAGGTTCGCTTGATCCTTAGTTGCGCCCCTTTCTGGACCGGGACGCCTTGCGCATGGTCACTCACGCCCTCATCACTTCCCGTCTGGACTACTGTAACGCTCTCTACATGGGGCTCCCCTTGAAGAGCACCCGGAGGCTCCAGCTGGTCCAGAATGTGGCCGCGCAGGTGATTATGGGGGCGACTTGGTGCTCCCATGTAACACCATTCCTGCACGAGCTGCACTGGCTCCCAGTGGTCTTCCGGGTGCGATTCAAGGTGTTGGTCGCCACCTTTAAAGCGCTCCATGGCATAGGACCTGGATATTTACGAGACCGCCTCCGATAGCCTCCCACCAACCAGTACGCTCCCACAGAGAGGGTTTCTTCAGGGTGCCGTCAGTTAGACAATGTCGACTGGCGACCCCCCAGGGGAGAGCCTTCTCTGTGGGAGCACCTGCCCTCTGGAATGAGCTGCCCCCGGAGATTCATCAGATTTCTGACCTCCGTACCTTCCGCCGCGCCCTTAAAACGCTATTATTCCATCAAGCAGCGCTGGCCTAAAATATTATTTTAATGGGTTATTGTGTTTTAGATGATTGGCCAAACTATCTAATAATTTTAAATTGTTTTTAACTTTTATATTGCTGGTTTTTATCTTGGCTGTACACCGCCCTGAGTCCCTTTGGGAGAAGGGCGGTATAAAAATTTGATAAATAAATAAAAATGAATTTCCAGGAAGAGATTCAGAGAGATCCCATCTGAAAAACAGAGCCTGTAAGCTTCCACCCCTCTTGCTCCTAAAAATGGGAATCACCAGCCTTTCTTCCATGATATATACATGTAGAAACCAAAGTGGTTGGAGAAGATGGTCCTCTAATTACAACAGTGCCAAACCATGTAGGGCATTGTAGGTTAAAACCAACCCTTTGAATTACAATCAGAAGCCTTTAAGAAGGCAAGGCAGGACTTTAAGCCACGTATGTCAAGCAGCATCTGGGCTGCTTTATTCAGAAAAAAATAAAAATATTACATTTCTAGATATAGTAATTGAAATGGTAATAATAAATATATTTAAATAAGTATACTTAAAAATAATTGAGTTTAGCTATGTAAAACTTTATTATATGTTCCAAAAGTAAGACTCCAGATGAAGTCCAAGAAAGTAACAATACACTGCAATATTTCCCTCAGCAAAGTTTTACTCCTCAAAGAAAATTGGGGAAACATAAAGAAAAGACAACAGAACAATGAGATGTTGACATCATATTGATATCAGATAAAATAGAAATAAGCAACAAGAGCTAATCCTGATAACAATATATTGTGAAATAGCTCTGTACCAAGTCCTAAACTGTTCACTTCAGGAGAAAGATATAGAGTAAGCAATATGTGAATTTAAGAGTTGATTGATAATAGTAGGAACTTGATGTAGCATACTACTACTGCTTAATAAAACTTTAAAAAATGTTCTTTGAGTGCTTTGATTTCGCTGTCTTTTGATTAGCATGAAGAATATTTTAGTTCCATAATTTCCTCCACCTGTAAACAAAGCATCACAAATAAAGATAGAACAATATACTGGATGGATTCTTACGAAACCTGAACTCAAACTCCTCACATGGCCATGAAACTCAGTAGAGATCTCTTATGTGAATAACATCAAGGAGGAAAAAAGCACTTGTATTGTCCTGAAAAATAAAGCAAGATAAAACTGCCTTAGGACACAGAAATTATGATGTAGAAATGACCTATGTTTCTTTTATATTTCCAAAACATGAAATATTTAAAAAAGTAGATGAGTTTAGCAATAAGGACCCAAAATATGTAATTTACAGACATGTAATTAATTGGAATACAACATCTAATTTGCTTGTGCTAATAGAGCTCGTTCTCTTACCTTCCAGACTTACTCAAAATGCTAGTTATCTTACATGACACTGTTCTGCTAGTGAAATATTTTCATTTTTTTATTGTTTTGGGTTGCTTTGTTGCAGCCGACAAGAGACTATATTAAAGTCACATTAAAGTGCAGAGTTCCAAACACAAATTATTACTAAAATCCAGGGTGGATTTGATTTAAATCAAACTGATTTAAATCACGATTTAAATCACTAGTCAGTAAGGCTTGATTTAAATCATAGTTTTCTAAATAAAGACTAATTCTTCCTGGTATAACTTTAATATGCAAGTAGATGAAGATTTTTAGAATAACAACTTTTCATATTAGTTTTTTTATCCCCAGTTTAATAGGTTAATCATTCATATTTGGACAACTTTTCTATTGTACTTAGGAAGGAGAAAAATAATCATTACCTTAATAATAACAATTTAAATAGATTTATTCAACTGAAACAATAACATTACAGCATATGTTATTTGCTTAAACAAACATCCATGTTTGTTAACTAATTTGGCTAAACAAAATATATATATATTAAGAAACTTAGACTGTCAGCCCAGCCTACACATGAAAAACTTAAATACTGTCCTCTGTAGCTCACTCGTCATCTTCATCTTCTTCTTTGTTCATAATCTGGAAAAGAAAAACAAGCTTTCCTGCTTTATCGGGTCCCAAACGATTTCTCAATTTAGAATGAATGAGTCCAAAGGAAGAGAATATTCTTTCAACGCCTGCAGGCTGCAGAAGAAGCTACTGCTGTTAAAAGTGAAATCATTACTTGAACAGTCTCTAAATCCAAGTGCTTAAATGACTTCCACCAGTTCACTGGTGTGACTTTCTTTAAAATATCTTCAGCAAACATATATTTCTTGAATGGTTCCCCCTTAGCTTTGAAGTTTATTATAGTTGGCATTACAGATGGATGATTGCTGGATACCCATGTCATTAGCTAACTCCTCTTCCTCAGCACTGGATATTGACAATATTTGCCAAAAAATGAGCTGGAGACAGTACTTGTCCCATTCTTTTTTTTAATGCTTGTAATTTAATTCTGTCCATGTGTAGTTCTGCTTTTAAGTGTTCACTCAGTTCCTTCCAAATTTCAACAGCATCAGCAATAAAACAGCTATTTTTCTGTATTTTGTTTAAAGCTTCAGAGATGGGTTTCAGGATGCTCAGCATATGTTCAACATTTCTCTTAAGCCCAATGTTGAGGATTTTGGCTGTGACAGTGCCATCTATTTTATCTCGATTTTCTTCACAAACTGTCATCAGAATAGGCCAGTTCTTGATATACTGCTCAAAACAGTCCACCACAGAGTTCCATCTAACATCTTGTGGGAGCGTTAGCTTGGTTCCACCCATCCTTTTCAGAGCTGCTGCAGCAAAATGATTGTTACGGAAGTATTTAGCAATTTCAACAACATTAGTCTTTATTTCTGGAACACTTAAGTCTTTGGCTAAGAGGTGCAGCAAAGAAGCACTGCAACCATATGTTATTAGCTTTGTATTCCCTTCCTGCTCTTCTAAATTTCTTCTCATCTTGGATACATTTGCAGCATTGTCTGTGACCAAACT